GGCGGGCAGGGGGGGGCAAGAAGAAGAAGAAGAAGAAGAAGAAGACGAAGACGAAGACGAAGAAGAAGAAGAGGAGGAGGAGAAGAGGAAGAAGAAGAAGAGGAAGAAGAAGAGGAGAAGAGGAGGAGGAAGAAGAAGATGAAGAAAAAGATGGGGGAGGGGTGCGATAGGGTGGGCGAGAAGAAGAAGAAAAAGGTGGAAGATGGGCAGGGGGTGAGAAATGGAGTGCGAGAAAGGATGGAAGCGGGGGCTTTGGAAGGGTGGGAAGAAGAAGGAGGAGAAGGAGGAGGAGGAGGAGGAGAAGAGGAAGAAGAAGAAGAAGAAGAAGAAGAAGAAGAAGATGATGATGATGATGATGAAGAAGAATGAGGGTGGTGTAGGAGACGCGGCCCAGCACGTGCGCGCAGGAGGCAGATTAAAAGAAAAAAAATAAAATCGGAACTTGTGGTCGCTGATGGCAGGCAAGGGGGGCAAGAAGAAGAAGACAAAGAAGAAGAAGAAGGGGGGTGGCGTACGAGACGCGGCCCAACACGCACGCGCACGAGGCAGATAAAAGAAAAAAAAAAAAAAAAATTGAAACTTGAGGTCGCTGATGGCGGGCAGGGGGGGGGCAAGAAGAAGAAGAAGAAGTTGAATAAGAAGAAGAAGAAGCAGAAGAAGAAGAGGAGGAAAAAGAAGAAGCAGCAGCGAAGGAGGAGGAGAGGACAAAGAGGAAGAGGAAGAGCGACAAGAAGAAGAAGAAGCGAAGGAGGAGGAGAAGAAGAAGAAAAAGCGAGGGAAGAGGAGAAAAAGAAGAAGAAGAAGAAGAAGATCTCTCTCTCTCTCTCTCTCTCTCTCTCTCTCTCTCTCTCTCTCTCTCTCACTTCCTCGTACTAACACACTGACCGTGGCGCGCGTCGGGGAGCGTCGGGGCACGTCGGGGGGCAGCGCGATGGCGTTCGGGCGCGTCGACTCCGTTGGTGGGCAGCGCAATGGCTTTCGGGGAGCGTCGACTCCGTTGGCGGCCGCGCTGTTCGACGGCAACGACGAAGGCTGCACTCGTCGAAGGCTGCACTCGGACGAAGTGAGGTGGTGGGAGGGTTACGAAGGCAACCACCAAGGCCTGCGCCAGGAAGGCGGGAAACCAGAAGCAGAGTGGAAAAAAAAAGGGCCGTTAGGCCCGATTGAAAGATTTGAAATCGCGGCCCATCTGGGCCGTCGATCTTGGAGATCGACGGCGCAGATGGGCCCCGATTTGAAATCTTTTAAATCGGGCCTACTGGCCCTTTTTTTTTTTTACTTTTCCATACACGGACTCCTTCGGGGGGAAGAAGGCCCCCCTTGACGAAAAAAAAAAAAAAAAAACGCCCTCGACAATGCGCTGGGGTCGCTCGGTGGCCAACCGGGCGGAACGACCGGCCAGGCGGCCCAGCCCCCCGCCCGGGCGACGAGCCGGGCGCCGGGCAGCCCGGAGTTCAGCCCAGAAAAAAACAAAAAAAAAACAAAGGGGAGAAGAGGTACCAAGCTCTGAACGTGAATGCCCTCAAATA